TTATGGCAGAGTGGCAAAGAGACATCCAAGAACCTATAACGCAAGAAGAATGGGAGAACATTTTTACAATACATGAAGGCTTATCATCATGTGCTTCACATTTTGAAATATCGCCAAAAATATTGTATAGGTGGTATATGGTACAAGCCGCCTCTGGTCAATATACCCGGATGAGGAGGACACATGCTGGAGATGTCACCTACATAAAGGCACTATGCTGCATATATGGTGGACATGCGATAAAGTAAACAACCTGTGGAAAGATATTGAGAGAATGATTCAAGACATTACAGCATGCAAGCTAGAACACACACCAAAAACACTACTCCTCAAAGCTTTGCCAGACAAGATAACTAAGCCTACAGAGAAATTGATTTTCTTACTTCTATCTATAGTATCCACTTTAATAGCTAAAAATTGGAAATCCTCGAAAGTGCCTTCTTTACAGGAAATCAGGACTTTGATGACTTCAACAGTGGATTATGAACTCAATATGTGGAATCAGACAAAAATAGGGAAACTAATCCTGGTGGTAGCTGATAGATGGTGGAGTTACTTACTAACAATTACCTCATAACTATTCTAAATTATTGATCGAAAAAGAAAAAGAAAAGAGAAAAAAGGAAAAAAAAGAACAGCAAAATAGGGAATTCATATTTTAAGTTATCCCCCTTACCCCCCCTTTTTTTCCTTCTTTTTCTTTTCCCCTTTCCCAGGGAAGTTTCCTGGGGAGTCCACATGTAGACCTATAAACGTATTACTACTATGCTCTATAAATTAATTTACATTAGAGAGAAAGTATGATTTCCTTTAATTTTAACGATTACTTTTAGCTAGAAATCCCTATAACAAAAGATAAGGAATATCTGATTATATTAAGATTACTCCTCTATCACTTTGTAGTTTAAAACATAAGAATATTCAGATTTAATCATTCCTAATTACTGCTTCTGTATAAATAATACAGAGTTTACCTACAAGTAAAACTGTTCTCAACTTATGTGATATTTATTAATAATGGAAATATGTTTTGTACTCCTAAATTAATGTGGACTATAACTGTTTCTATTTTTATTTTCTGTACCCCTTGTTTTACAATGGAAAAATCAATAAAAATTCAAAGAAAAAAAAGAAATTGCTATATAGTGGATTTTGTACATTGCAATAATATCATCAGTGTTATTCACTTAATCAGTCAATTGGTTTAATGTTGTGGCTGATCAGTGTATATTGCACTAATCAGCTACCTGACTGCTGTGCAGTAAAATGCTGGAGATTGTGTATTTTCATCAATGAGAAGGTGTGTACAGCATGCTGCCTGCTTAATACTATTTTGGAGGCACTGCTTCATCAGGAAAGATAAGCCCAATTTCATTCCATCAACATATGATTCAAAACTAGCTCATATCCATCTGGCAAATACTCAATATTATTCAGTTGCTACAGATATTCTAAGAGATATTATATTATTATTACTCACCTTGTTATACGGTGGGGGCCGTGAGTTTTATCTTCTCAATTATATTCTCTAAATCTAACAGGGATTAATAATTAAATTGGAACATTTCTTTTACCTCATCCTTGATTATATGGATTTAATTGCTTGAACTTTTTATACTGTTAATTTGTATTTGCGAGTGTTTAATTTTTTATGTATTAATGTATCCATAATAACTGTATCTAATATAAATGTAACTATATAGATTACTGACACTTTTAATTTTGTGTGCTACTCCAGCTAATTATTATTGTTGTAATACTGAAGAAATGGTGCCTAAAGATAGGAGGGGACAGAGGGTGGCACAAAGAGATCTGAGTGTGCATGTATCAGTGTGTGTCTGTTCCTGTCAGTGTGCATCTGCATATGTATGTATGTGCATGTCTATTGTGTGTCTGTGTGTATATTTGTGCATGTGAAGGAATACCCCCAATACTTTCGGCTCCTTTCAGTTATTTTGTTCGGTTCCCAAACCTTGACCACTCCGGAATCCAACTAGAACATGGAACGTTATGTATCTGTACGAAAACCGCAAAGAAAATTATGATTCAAATGCTCCACTGGGTGGCCGCTATTCTTGTCTCCCGAACGCTGGCAGCGGGACTTGGTCATCGAATGCCATTTCGTACATATGAACACACATGGCTGAAACAATGGATGGTGGCCATCTTGTCTCCTGAACTCTGGCAGCGGGACTTGGTCATCGAGTGCCTGGAACTGATTTCAACCAGGCACTCTCACGGACACCAGTTACCATGGACCCACGGCTCGTTCTACTTCCAGTTCACCTATACGAACTGCGTTCCGGAGTTACAGACTAACAAACATGAGGAGCATTCTACTTAACCTAGTTTTCCTCTATCTTATGTGGTTTTTGTACAAAACCCCACAAATGAAGACCATCTCTTGACACCATTTCCCTGGAACTATTTTGGGCTTACTCCTTGTGGCAGACTGGTCAAAATTTCCTTGCAATGGTGATTTAAAACTACCAAACGGATCTGGTTTTCGCCCAGATTTTGTGGGGTTTTCCTGTATTTTGGGGGTACTTTTGCAAAATTGCAAAATTGTGTATTTTTTCTTTACTGAAGATAATTGAGTTTAGTGTATTTACTGATTTAATTATCTCTCAGTCACAGAGGAGGAGTTTATGCACTGTATAAATTTTAATGCCTGTACTTCCATTAAAATCAGTCTTCACCCAGCTTTCAGCCTTGGTTCATGTGTGGGGGGTTATTGTATGCCAGTGATACTTTACCTGTGTGAATCATTTGCGGTTTTGCTTGGAAAAGGGTTATCTGTGACGGTGACACTTTGGCAGACCGTCACA